GAGAGTGTGCATAAAAAGAACGTCCAAATCTGACTTGGTATGAAGAAGTTATGATTTTTCTAAAATTCGACATAGCAGTACACAACCCGAAATTCGAATTAAAGATCGAACGATTTTTAGCTGACACAACCTAAACGAGAATCGGAGATCTCGTCAATAGTAGTTCAAGGGTAAAAAGACAGACGGAAACGGACGTCGGATGAAGAAGTTATGAATTTTTAACGAACTTTTCATGTCCCGGCCTATTAAAAATATAATATTAAAAATAAATCTAAATTAGCCGACGGAGTCTAAACGAAAGTCGTAGAGTACGGTCTCACCTATGGGTGGATATAAAGAACGTCGAAAACGGAGCTCGTATGCGAAAGTTATGAATTTTTGAAGTTCCGGGCACAAAATCCGAGAACTTTTCCATGTGCTCGGCCCGGATTCGGCCACGTCGCCCTACACCTCGCATGTCTGACGCGTGTCCAACCCGTGGCGCGTCCGAAGCGACCTACCTCCGGATTCCAACGCGTGTTCATCGCCGTGGAACGTCCGAACCGAGCCACGTCTCTCCCTCGCATGTCCGGCGCGTGTCCCCCCCCCCCCCCCCCCCCCCCACCGGATGCGAGACTTCGGCCCTATGTAAAGGGTGCGAAATCTTCCGGTTTTGGTTGCCATTTTTCACACTTTACACTCTCTTAAGCCATTCTACAAACCCCCGAAGCCTCGGGAACCTCCCTACCACCCGAAGAAAGCCCCGAAGCACCCGAAGTCCCCGAGAAAATAGTCTTTTCGGTTTGAAACTCGACCCTCGCAAAGCCCGGTTTTCAACAAAACTCTCGGTTTCGTCAAGAAAAATCATTTCTAGAAGCGAAGTGTTGTCCAAATCACCACATTTATCAAGTGAGTTCATACCCCTTCATTTTCACTATCTTATTTATATTTTAAGAGGGAAAATACAAGTAAAACACAAGGAAATATTATGTTAATAACAAAACTATTCAAATAATTTTCTATTGTCGTTTTTACTAGGATAAACATACTTTACTAGTTTGAGATTTCATACAGAAACAAACATATAAACTATAATAGGGATAGTTTATGGAACAAACGTACTATTTTACAAGTTCATGTTACAATACAGAAACAAACATATAAACTATATTAAATATAGTTATGAGATATACTTACAGTTTATTCATTACAAAGTAACTTTTCATTATTCTATACATAATCATCAATATAGCTTTTGTGAGATACACTTCAAGTACTTATTTGAGTACCAACCAAGTCCTGTAATTATAACCAGAGTCTCCTGGAGGGAGAGCGTGACACTTGTGTATAGATCTATACGGGACTGATAATCCCGCACCTGAGCTGCTTGCAACAGCTAGGCTGGCAGGTCTGAGGTGACAAATGTCGTACCGATATCGACGCCTAAAGAACGTCGTGTTCAGGCCATCTTAGGTCATCAAGCATGGTTATAATAACTCACAAATTTGGTATTGAACAATACGATTAGTGTGTGAATAAGTAAACAACTTCACATAGTTTTATATAATAATAAAACTATAATACAATATTTTACAAGTATATTTGTTGAAACTAGACAGTTACAAATACCCAGTCTTCATACAAATACAATTACAGAACACTATTTCAGTATAGAGAAAACATACTTCTCATGGTTTCATACAGATTAAAATTATAGCATACTATATCAGAGTACGATAACATTTACACGTTTTAAGTACAACATACTACAACAGAAAATATAGGATTTTCTGGGGAAAACATACTTACATTTTCAAGGAACAAATATCAGATTTCAATTACAAAACATACTTATGAACTCACCAACTTAATTGTTGACACTCTTTTCAAAACTACTTGTATTATCAGGAAATCAGTAGACAGGTACATCCACGAATTTTTGAGAAGACGGAGCTTCATTGACTCATGTCTTTTAACTTTTTGGTGTCATGTATACAATGACTTGAATACATATGTAAAAACTTATACTTTATCAATGCATGATTGTTGTATTTTGATTACTATTATGCAATTGTTGTGATACTGCATATGAAGTCATCCGCGCCCGAAAATTTCTGCCGTTCCGGTTTGGGGGTGTGACAACCATTGATGTCGAAATCAACCTTGATAACAAACCTTCAAAATCGACTTCTAACACTTCACATTCAATTTTCGACACCCAATCCTTCTAACTCAAATCATTCACATTCGTTATCAGGTTCAACATACAATTTTCGCATATGATACTGAGCCCTTTGCTTAAACTCAATTCATCATTTAGAGTTATTCCGTCAATTCCCAGAACCATTCTCAAAGACTCAACTTTGAACCACCATAAAAAAATATGACTCTTGCTTATATATCGAAACCAGAGCGCATCAAAATCAAACTTTGAATTTCCATTTGACTATCAAAATCAAAACTTTCGACCATTGATTTCAATTCAGCACAATTGGACTGTGTCTCCAACAATTTTGCCTCAAGTGAATGCTAAAATGATTACAGGTGCAAGCAATTTTCACAATTCCGATGACCACCGTTTTTGACTTTTTGTTTGACCCCGATGAACATCAAATCCATTATCTCTATATTGATTTTCTGATTAAACATACCGATTCAACCAAAATCTTTCATTCTTCATCTTTGAAATTCAAACACATTTCATCATCTCCATGTCGAATTTCAAATAAATTTGTCATTATCAACCCAAATCAGATTCATCTACATCAGTTCATCACCCGGAACTGAAAAATCTTGATATTTTGATTCATCAAAAAACACTATTGAATTTCTCAAAGTAAATCATTTGAAGAATTGAATCAAAACGTGAATGAATCGCACCAAAATATATCAATTAGAAAACAAGTTTGATTCACAAAAAAATGATCTGATCGACAAACAAGCTACGTGAATCAAACGTTTTAAGCTCGTATATGTGAAGTTAGGTATACAAAATCGAACGACATATGCCTACATCAAACGAGAAATCGATTGGACTTGATAAATGAGTAACCGATTAGAATCGATTTTGAATTTCTACTGTGAAATTAGTCGAATGAAGTATGAAGCAAGACAAGCGAATCAGATACTTGAATTATTGGATCAAGGTTTTGGGCTTGAATGATCAGTACATGAATTTGAGCTTGACATTTGGTAAGGATTAGTAATTAATCAAAAACGACTTGGCTCAAATAAATGATTGGACACCAAAATTTGATAAAAAATCAGAAAATAGGATCAAATTGGGCTTATGAAAATGGATCAAATGACCGGTAGTAGATCGAAATGTTGGTTTTGGGCTTGATCTATTGAAAAAAGTTATTGGATCATAACAATTGGGTTGAAACAAATTTAATATAGTGAGTCAAAATGATCAAAAATTCATAACGTAAGCACCATATTAACAGATTCCGAGAGATTAAGAGAGACTCACCATAGATCATTCAAATTGTGTTGATTGTTTGCCAAATCGAGAACTGTTTCTTCAAAAATCACTTCAATCTTCGAAGACCCGCTCTGATACCGATTGTAGTGAATTATGAGCAATTTGATTTGACATGCAAATTATAAAGAACACAAAGAACATGGTGATTTGGGTGAATAAAAGATGTATTTGATAATGGAAAGGTATTACAAAAAGGAGTAAAAGATCTTGACTAATAAATAACACACACTGCACACTCACAATTTTACATCTCTCATGTATACTACTAGTGGTATGCAACCCACTATTTATAGAGGTGCTAACAACTCTCTCTCTCTCTCTCTCTCTCTCTCTCTCTCTCTCTCTCTCTCTCTCTCTCTCTCTCTCTCTCTCTCTCATGTCACAAGGCTCGAATCCCACATATGCAAGTAGGTCTTCTCAAGCCAAGCCTTCACTAATCATCTAATGGAGAACTTTTTACCCAACAACAGTGTTGCCCTACTTGTTGTAATATAGGTGTTTGAACTATAAAAGACATTACAAAAACACTACTCTTTCAAAATTGAGGAATTCATCGAATGTGACTCATATTGCCCGAACATTAGATGTGTTGTATCTAGACAAAATATGTTTTCGATCAAGGGTGTTTGGGTATCGGTTGGGTTGTGTATGTTTTGGTTTTACTCCATTGTTTGAGAATAGATGTTGAAAATGAAAAAGAAACTTGAGTTGTTTGAGAATAGAAGTTGAAAATGAAAAAGAAATTTGAGTGTGTTTTGATATGGTAGTGTATAAAGAATGAGGCATATATTTATAGGTAAATTGGAGAGAAAAAAATGAAAAAGATTTTCTTTTTCTTTCTAAAAATGACCCGTTTGGCAGGGGAATTTTTTTTTAAAAAAATTTGTGGCTAGGTATGAACCGACCAATGCTCCTCCACTCCATGTCATCACCATGCCCAAGAAATCTTAGTGCGTGGCCACACAGCCCACAACAACACCATGCAAGATGTGTGTACACCAGTTAGCCTTACATTACAGTCTTATCAAAATACCATTTCTAGACAAACCTTCCACAAATTTGCACCATTTTCTTTATTCCCCCAAAAGCCACTCTAGAAGTTAACGAAACCCTGATTTGAAACACAACGAAAACGTCTTCTTTATCAACAAAAAACTCAACGGCCAACAATATGCTTCCCATTTGAAATGCCTCATCAACGGGTATCCCACTTTGCTTATACCGCTATATATCCAGCTAAAGAAAGAATCTCATTGAGCTTCATTAATCCTGGCAGAAGTTTCAGGAACTGCCTAAATTCACTATTTAGTTCATGTTTGTGCCTTCATTTACAATTAGGCTTGTGCTTTGATTTAATGTTACAATGATATGCTCGAACTTTTGAGGGTTCAAGATCATGAAAATTTTCAGATGCAGGCAATTGTTTTGAGTTTTTTTTTTTCAGTTTGTGTGTCTTGTTAATGTTAGCTAGTTGATGTTTTTTAGTTGTTAAACAATGATAAACTGGAAGAATTTTCAGATGGTAGACCAACAGGGGTGACCGAAAAAAGCGGGCTTTTATACAAACAATTACCTAAAATATCCAATGCAAATATTGCTCATATCAACCTAATATTACTTAAACTTTCTTTGCATTTACAGAATTACAGTAAATCAATCTCATTATAGCGTTTAATGGTGAAGCCCGCTGCTGGCGATGCACGTGGAAATGGCATGTGCACCAAACCTCGAAGCATCTTTACTTCTTCATTAACAGAAACACGATAATGAAGCTCTATCCGTGCTTTCTTTAGCACATGTGACTTACCCATGATGAGCTTCACAAACTCCATCTCAAGACCATGGTTATGGAAGCTTGTGATCTCCAATTCTTTAAGATGATCCAAGTTGAGGCCCGAATATTCTTGAATATCAGGCAAGTTCATAAAAGTATGTTGAAGACAATGCTCATCATGGTCCCAACACATCTAATCAGAAAACATGTCAAAATCATAAGTAGAATCATGAAGATCTATTAAAACCATATGTGATATTTTATATTTACCTCCACTTTGATCTTCTCCAAATTTGGAGAGCTGCTGATCACACATAGAACAGTCGAAAGATCAAGGAAACACACATTAAGAACAAGTATTCTCAAGTGGGGTAGTGAAATGGGGAGCTTATGTGGCATACTATTACTACCTGCACCCAAGTGCTTTAACCAAATACTGAAACTCAGATTAAGAGTTTAAAACATAATGAGATAAAAGAATCAAGTTAAGTATTACCTCGATATACAACTGTGAGATTTTCAGAACCTGAACCAAAGGTAAACACTTAAATAGCTCAACAAATTCACACTCACTAAGCTTTGTGTTTGTATAATAACCTCTAGCCTGCATCAAATACATTTGTAAGAATGTATTTAATTGAAAGAGCTTAATTCATAAGTAGTTATATACATCTTACCCAAGTAAATTCCTCAAGTAGGGGGCAATTGGTAAGGAATTGAAAAAGCATCTTGTTAGTGATATTGACCTCGAAAAGACGTAGGCTCTTCAACCTACTAAATCCCTTATTCATTAATGGAAGCTCAAATTCACAATGTGTGAGATCTAGGTGCTCTAATCCTTGCAATGAAAAGAACGAACAGGGTAGCAAGTAGAATGCACCACAAATCAGGAAGGTGAATTTCTTGATATTATTGCTCCTTGAAAAATGAAGTATCATCTGATCAATCTCACTAAAAATATTTTTATCAACATAGAGAATGATACAGAATTCCAATATTGGGCCCCTGTGTAACAACAAAACATGGAAGATGGCCTTGACAAACTTATATTTATCAATTTCTTTATTACCAGATGATACACCCATGTCACTAAATACAAGTTTTGGCATGCTTGTCCAAGAATACCTCCATTTTCTTGACAACACACTTGTTCTCAATGCATCTTGGATAGGCATGAGAGACAGAATTAAATCAATTGCGTCTTGAGGAAGAGTGCTAATTCTATCCAAACTCTTGAGAGGATCTGTCATCTCTTGATGAGATTCTCAGAGTTTCATACTCAAGACAAGGCTGTAAAGAGATATGCAAAACTAAATAGATTTAGAATTTTAGATTTAATTGTATAACATTCTTTCTCAATTTTAGGCAATAGCCATACAAATCAACATAAAAGGGAAGGAAAATAACTAAAATGGTACGCTGAATAATAAATATCCTAAGGATGCTCTACCTGAATACTAAAGCCCTAAATCCCTTATTATATCTAACATGATAACAACAGTTTCGATATCTAATTCACAATAGTACGCTGACATTAGTACCCCTCTCTCTACACCATTAGGCAACTATAACGAGGATCAGCGGAAGAAGAAGATGACCTTAAATGGGAAGGGAAAAAAAAAACCAAAATGGCGAGGAGCAGAAAGTAAAAATTCAATACAAAAGGAGGAAAAACGAAGGAAAAGACTACTGCTTACTACTGCTGCGTATTCGCCTTCCGCCGCACCGCTGCGACCTCTGCTCCTTCCCGGTTTCGCCGTCGCCCTCCGCCTGCCTTGCCTTCGCAGCACAACCTAAATTCTTTAAGTGGAGGAGACTCCCTTCGACATTGTTCTTTACTACTTTAATCGTAATAACTTAGTACCTTTTTATTGATATTATATTTAAATAAAAAACTATATAAATGGTCCCTATGATTTATAAAAAGCACAACTTCAGTTCTTTATAATTTGTTTTGCTACGAATGGTACTTCTAGTTTCTAAATTTGTACGAATAATTTTTGAGCCATATTTATTATTTAATGAGGTTTATTTATTTAATCTTTGCAGCCTTTATTTATATAACCCTTCCTAGCCCATTTATCATCTTCACCTGTGTTTCTTGACTTCATGTTGCCTTTATAAGAGCAACTACAACCATACTACTAAAACAACATTAAATTGATGTATTTTTAACATCAAAACATTTTTTCTATTCCAACCGCACATTAAAAATTTACACCAAAAATATATTTTAATATTATAATATAAACTATAACAATTATTAAAATTGTAAAAGTTATAAAAACTAACCAAAATAGTAGGTGTTTTGGTGTGATGAATAGTATTACACCAAATATAGAGGCTATTCAATCACATCATTTTTGTGTAAAAAGAACTCAACCAATAAAGAAAAGAGCAGTGAATAGATGAGTGGTTAGTTTTGTAGAACTAATAATTGTTTTAAAGGAACAAGGTATTATTTTTGACAGAGTGTAGAAGCATCTTAGATTGGTAGGAAAATGGTTTAGGGTTGTAGATTTTATCTGATTTTCTTCAATGATTTTCTCATCTCATGTGGTGCAGAGGCTGGCGGTCACGGTGGAGGAGATTGGACGTCACGGTATAGGAAATTGGAAGAGATTGGAGGTCATGGTAGAGGAGGTAGAGGAGATTGGAAGAGATGAAGTTTATGTTTGAAGAGACTGGAAGAAGGGGGTTGGGATGGACCCTTTTATTTTAATATTTATATAAAAGAAAATAATAATAAAATAAAATGATAAAATAAAATAAAAATGACAAAAAAGTTATTTTAGGTGGCTCAAGCCCTATAAATGCAAGTTTTAATCATTCACATCAAAACAATTATAACGGACTTAATTTGTGATTTTTGATAAATTAAAAGCACCATTTATGTAATTTTGTCTTATGTTTATATTAGGGGTGAGCAAAAACTGAACCGCAAACCAAAAAACTGCAAAATAATCGAAAAACAGAAACTGAAAAAGCGAAACCGAACATATAATCGATGGTGCGGTTATAGAAATTCAAAAAACCACAACTTTTCGGTGTGGTGCGGTTTTATGTTTCAAAAAACCGCAAAATAACCGAACCGCACCGCAATATTAAAATATTATTATTATTGAATATATATTTTATTTTTTTAATAAAAATACAAATCCCAAAAAAAAAGGCTCGTTCCCAATTCTTTCACACGATTTCTTTCATTCGAGTTTTGTGTTCTAAAAAGCCCTAGCCCCCGTTAAGCTTCCGTTTACTGGCAACTGAAGCAGCCAACGATCGAACCATTGAAGCAACCATCGACCATCGACTAGAAGGCAACTCTCGATTTCGGCGACCTGAAAACTGAAGCAATCTTCCTCTTCGTCTCAGGTAAGGTCTAAACTGCATTCGACTTAATCTCATACTTGGATTCGACCATTCTTGTAGTTTTTTTTTCAATTTCCTCTTCTGTTCTTCTAGTCGACTATGTTACATCTTTGGTTTGTAACATTCCAAAATTTAGAAGTATGATTGAAGGATTTAATTGTAAATTGAAGAAGGTACTCGACGAGTAGGTATGCTACTCGTCGAGTCGGAGCGGGTTTTGGTTGCAAGTTAAGTGACCAACTCGCCGAGTCGGCAGCTGGACTCGATGAGTTGGTGCTGAAAAGAGAAAACCCTAATCTTAAGGGTTGCACCCTATTTAAAGGACCATATGTCCTCCCTTCAGCCTCCTTATTGCCCTTGAGAGTTAGTAAACCCTAAAATCGTGTGAGCTTCCATTGTTAAAGAGATTTGAGCTTTGGAGGAGGAATTTTGAGAAGGGAACTTGAAGATCAAGAGGCTAGCATCAAGGGATTGGTATAGATCCAAGATCTACTTCTGCTTGGGCACATTTTGGAAGGTAACAAGCTGTTACCTTGACTCTATTGCATTTATATCTATTCAAGAATGAGATTTGGGGCCCTTTTTGCATGTTTAGGATCTATTTCAGGTTAGGGGTCTAGATCTGAGGTTGCTACTTCAGATCTAGACTTGTCTTGGACCAGAAACTCACAAAGTATCAGCCTTTGGCTTGTTGGTGAAGCATCCTTGTCTTAAACCTTAGCCCTAGTTTGATTTGGGCCAATAGCTCTTTGTTTCCACGTAAAGTTTGCAACTTTACGTGAGAGTCATGCCCCAGAATAGTGGATCTACAGTTTGGAGCCCCCGCATGACACGAAAAGCCTCTGTATGAATAAAGGACTGAAGGGACTCGGCAAGTCTGTTCTTGGACTCGGCGAGTCTGTTGAAGATAGGCATGAACTCGACGAGTTAGAGGAACAACTCGGCGAGTCTAATGAAGTTTGTCGTGGACTCGGCGAGTCAGAACGCAAAACCCAACCTCTTCTGGTTAAGACTCAGATCAATGAGTTGAGTGGTGACTCGGTGAGTTGGACATGATAGGACTTAGAGATTGTTGAACTCGACGAGTCATGGGGTGACTCGGCGAGTCGAGTCGTGATATAAGAGTTTTCTGAGTTTAGGAACTCGGCGAGTCAGCGGGTTGACTCGGCGAGTAGGGTCAATCAGGAAGGTTGACTTTGGCCAGGACTTTGACTTTGACCAGTTTTGACCTTCAAGGGTATTATGGTCATTCGGATATTTATGTCAATGGATCATTGATGACTATAGGTGTTGGAGTTTGGGGCAGTGCTTCGGGATCGTGCTTTCGTGGTTCGGTTTGGCAGTTGCAAGGTGAGTTATCCTCACTATACCCAAGGGTCTAAGGCAACAAGGACGGCCCTTTGATTTGTTATTTGAGATCGTTACTACTGTGTTATGTTAGTTGGCATCCTGGTAGATAGGATGGCTATATGATGGTATGCTCTGTTAGATCGGTATTCTGGTAGATTGGATGTGGCTATGCTTAGTGACCTGTAGTTGGTCTGACTGTCTGTATGCTGGTAGGAGATTACCTGTTATATGTGCACGTGTTGAGCAGTAGTAGAGGGTATTCCATCCCGGTAGGATGATAGGGCCCTAATATGTTGTCTTGTAGACTGTTATATGTTTATTTAATAGGTGCACATGTTTGCTAGTATGCGGGCATTCCAACCCGATGGTTGAGGGCCAGGAGTATTCCATCCCGGTAGGATGATTGGACTCATAGTAGGTGGGCATTCCAACCTGATGGTTGAGGGCCTGGGGTATTCCATCCCGAGGGATGATTGGACCCATAGTAGCTATTGTATGTATAGTAGGTGGGCATTCCAACCCGATGGTTGAGGGCCATTAGTATTCCATCCCGGTAGGATGATTGGGCTCATAGTAGGTGGGCATTCCAACCTGATGGTTGAGGGCCTGGGGTATTCCATCCCGTAGGGATGATTGGACCCGTAGTAGTTATTGTATGTATAGGTGTGTGGGCATTCCAACCCGATGGTTATGGGCCGAGAGTATTCCATCCCGAGGATGATTGGACTCGTAGTATGTTGGCATTCCAACCCGACGGTTGAGGGCCTGGGGTATTCCAACCTGACGGTTGATTGGACCCATAGTATGCTGTTCATTGTTGTATGTGTATGGTTATGTGTGTACGGGTATTTTGGGGGAACTCACTAAGATTTCGAGCTTACGGTTTTCAGTTTATTGTTCCAGGTACATCGGGTGATCGTGGCAAGGCAAAGGCGTGATCGTACCGCTCCTCATATTTCATGATTTTGTGATTTGGTTCTAGGGATACTCTAATGTTTAAACTATTTTGAAAACGAGTTGTAATAACTTAATGGTTTTTGAATGGATTAAAATGTTTTAAATTGGCTTAATTTTATGGGTGTTACAAGTTGGTATCAGAGCCTTGGTTTGAGTGAATTGGAGGAACATTCGTGTGAATCCAGTCTCAAATCAAGGAAAGATTTTCAAATGGTCTTCAAATGGTTTTCAAAATAAGTAAAGGAGGATGCAGAGGGTACGATTAGCCGGAGCCAGTAAGTAGACCCCAAAATACCATACAAGTTATTTGATTATGTGATATGATTAGAACAACATGCTATTAGTAGGCTAGGGATCTTCAGGAATTGCATGATAGAATTGCCTGATTACATGATGCCTGCTAGCCTAGGGTTTCCTTTATATGAGATTGACATCATTACTGTAGTTGCTTAGTGTATGCATCACGGTTATACATAATTAAGATCTTATAGCCTGAGAATGTTTGATTTGGCCTTATGTTCTGTTCTTGTTTGATTGGGAGCTTGGGGTAGGATTGGATATTCGAAAGTCTATAGGGTCCAGCGTCATGTATGGCTAGCATACACTAGTGCTGCAGGGTTGGTGGAAGTTTCATGGATGGGTGGGTGGTGTGAGACCGGTAGGCCAGTTATTTTAAAAGGTGTGTTCATGTCAGGAAGGTGGCAGTATCGTCGGGTAATACTGGTTTGATGTGTTCTGACATTACGTAGAAAAGGTTGATGGTCGGCCGGGAGTATTGGCAAGGATACCACACGAGAAGAAGTTATTTTAAAAAGGGTACAGTGGTAGGGTCTGGAAGGACCTGAGTTGATTGGGAAATCGGAGTCTGCAGTGCAAGAGGTATATTCAGGATCGTACACTATAGTAGGCTTCGAGGACGAAGCCTAATTTAAGTGGGGGAGAGTTGTAACATCCCAAAATTTAGAAGTATGATTGAAGGATTTAATTGTAAATTGAAGAAGGTACTCGACGAGTAGGTATGCTACTCGTCGAGTCGGAGCGGGTTTTGGTCGCAAGTTAAGTGACCAACTCGCCGAGTCGGCAGCTGGACTCGACGAGTTGGTGCTGAAAAGAGAAAACCCTAATCTTAAGGGTTGCCCCTATTTAAAGGACCATATGTCCTCCCTTCAGCCTCCTTATTGCCCTTGAGAGTCAGTAAACCCTAAAATCGTGTGAGCTTCCATTGTTAAAGAGATTTGAGCTTTGGAGGAGGAATTTTGAGAAAGGAACTTGAAGATCAAGAGGCTAGCATCAAGGGATTGGTATAGATCCAGGATCTACTTTAGCTTGGGCACATTTTGGAGGTAACAAGCTGTTACCTTGACTCTATTGCATTTATATCTATTCAAGAATGAGATTTGGGGCCCTTTTTGCATGTTTAGGATCTATTTCGGGTTAGGGGTCTAGATCTGAGGTTGCTACTTCAGATCTAGACTTGTCTTGGACCAGAAACTCACAAAGTATCAGCCTTTGGCTTGTTGGTGAAGCATCCTTGTCTTAAACCTTAGCCCTAGTTTGATTTGGGCATATAGCTCTTTGTTTCCACGTAAAGTTTGCAACTTTACGTGAGAGTCATGCCCCAGAATAGTGGATCTACAGTTTGGAGCCCGTACATGACTCGAAAAGCCTCTGTATGAATAAAGGACTGAAGGGACTCGGCGAGTCTGTTCTTGGACTCGGCGAGTCTGTTGAAGATAGGCATGGACTCGACGAGTTGGAGGACCAACTCGGCGAGTCTGTTGAAGATTGTCGTGGACTCAACGAGTCTGTTCTTGGACTCGGCGAGTCAGAATGCAAAACCCCAACCTCTTCTGGTTAAGACTCAGATTAGTGAGTTGAGTGGTGACTCAGTGAGTTGGACATGATAGGACTCAGAGATTGTTGAACTCGACGAGTCATGGGGTGACTCGGCGAGTCGAGTCGTGATATAAGAGTTTTCTGAGTTTAGGAACTCGACGAGTCAGCGGGTTGACTCGGCGAGTAGGGTCAATCAGGAAGGTTGACTTTGGCCAGGACTTTGACTTTGACCAGTTTTGACCTTCAAGGGTATTATGGTCATTCAGATATTTATGTCAATGGATCATTGATGACTATAGGTGTTGGAGTTTGGGGCAGTGCTTCGGGATCGTGCTTTCGTGGTTCGGTTTGGCAGTTGCAAGGTGAGTTATCATCACTATACCCAAGTGTCTAAGGCACCAAGGCGGGCCCTTTGATTTGTTATTTGAGATAGTTACTGCTGTCTTATGTTAGTTGGCATCCTGGTAGATAGGATGGCTATATGATGGTATGCTCTGTTAGATCGGTATTCTGGTAAATTGGATGTGGCTATGCTTAGTGACCTGTAGTTGGTCTGACTGTCTGTATGCTGGTAGGAGATTACCTGTTATATGTGCACGTGTTGAGCAGTAGTAGAGGGTATTCCATCCCGGTATGATGATAAGGCCCTAGTATGTTGTCTTGTAGACTGTTATATGTTTATTTAATAGGTGCACATGTTTGCTAGTATGCGGGCATTCCAACCCGATGGTTGAGGGTCAGGAGTATTCCATCCCGGTAGGATGATTGGACTCATAGTAGGTGGGCATTCCAACCTGATGGTTGAGGGCCTGGGGTATTCTATCCCGAGGGATGATTGGACCCATAGTAGCTATTGTATGTATAGTAGGTGGGCATTCCAATCCGATGGTTGAGGGCCAGGAGTATTCCATCCCGGTAGGATGATTGGGCTCATAGTAGGTGGGCATTCCAACCTGATGGTTGAGGGCCTGGGATATTCCATCCCGAGGGATGATTGGACCCGTAGTAGTTATTGTATGTATAGGTGTGTGGGCATTCCAACCCGATGGTTGTGGGCCCAGAGTATTCCATCCTGAGGATGATTGGACTCGTAGTATGTTGGCATTCCAACCCGACGGTTGAGGGCCTGGGGTATTCCAACCTGACGGTTGATTGGACCCATAGTATGCTGTTTATTGCTGTATGTGTATGTTTATGTGTGTACGGGTATTTTGGGGGAACTCACTAAGCTTTCGAGCTTACGGTTTTCAGTTTATTGTTTCAGGTACATCGGGTGATCGTGGCAAGGCAAAGGCGTGATCGTACCGCTCCTCATATTTCATGATTTTGTGATTTGGTTCTGGGGATACTCTGATGTTTAAACTATTTTGAAAACGAGTTGTAATAACTTAATGGTTTTTGAATGGATTAAAATGTTTTAAATTGGCTTAAATTTTATGGTGTTACATGGTTGAAGATATCTTTTCCAACAATGGGGTTACTAACACTTCGAATTTGATCATGAGGGTCAAGATATTAAGAGTGGTGGAGATTTATCTAGCGGGTGGAAGGGAAAAAAGGGACAATAAGTTTGATCTTTTAGGATCGTGGAAAGTGAATTCAATAAAATTCCCTATATTGTCTACCTTAGCTAGGCATGTATTGGCTGTGCCGATATCGACAGTTGCATCAGGCTATGCCGATATCGACAGTTGCATCAGAGTCGGCCTTTAGTACATGTGTCATAGTTCTTGATAAGTATAGGAGTTCACTTAACCCCGACACCGCAGAAGTTCTAATTTGTGCACAATATTGGATAAGGTGTTCATTGGTAGATCTTGAGCTTGGTTGTGCTATGAAGAGTAAAGAAATTGATGAATTTAATGAGAAGATGGCGGATTTAAAAATTGGTAAGGTTTTTTCCCGTATGTTATGATTTTATATTATGATTATAATTACTAGTGGTTTATATACTAATAATCTAATATTTATATTTATTTATGTAGATTGAAAACAAGAAAAAATCTTCCAAGGATCAAGGAGATTATGATCAATGGTGGTTTATTTTATATGTGTTTATTGTTGGTGATAAAAACATGTTTATTCTTTTTGATGAAGTTTGAACTTTGACGGATATTATGTTGTATGAAGTTTAAACCAAGATGTGGATGACTTAATGGTTATGAATTAAAATGAATTTATTAATTTCAAAATATGGTTTGATCATGTGTTTATATCTATTTTATTATCATTTGGATGCAAGTTCAAGTTGGCAAGTTGTAACTTCAAAAAACTTAAAAGGAATATATTGATATAATATGAATTGATGCTTATGACCTATTGTTGTATGTTGTATCTAGTGCTAGTTGTCATATAAGAAAGTCAAACTTAATAAAGGAAATAATGAACAGTCAAAAGCTGAAAGTTGTGGTTGGACATAAAAATAACCGCACCGTTGAAATAAAACCACACCATTTCTATATTGTGGTTAATAACTGAAACCGCAAAAAAAAAAAAAAAAAAAAAAAAAAACTGAAATCGCAAATGAACCGCAACAAAAACCGCACCTATCGGTTACATGGATATAAAAACCGCAATTTCGGTTTTCGGTTTCGATTTGGTGTAAAAATTGCACTAAACGACACCATGCTCACCCCTAGTTTATATATTTATTACTTATAAAGGAAATTACAAATTTGATCCTTTGGTTTACCAAAATTTCAATTTTTGTCCAAATTTTCAAAAATTGATACGCGGTTTGTGGTTCCAAAAGTTGCACATATGGTCCTAAAGCAGTTAACATCTAGAAAGCTTAGAAAGTTCAAAATGTTTGTTGATGAAATTTCCCTTGGATTTGTCTCTTTCTTATTTTCTTATTTTCCTTTTAGATTTTAACTTTTAAATAAACGAACCACCGCATCATCCCAACACTACCACCACCCACCTGCCGCCAAAAAAATCGATCACCACACTACCAGCCACCAATCACATCTACCATCACCAATCATAATCGACCACCACCAATACCACCAATCACAACTATCATCATTAATCACCACCAACCACCACTACCACCAGACCTAGTAATGACGACACTATCACCACCAATTTGAAATCCCTAAACTAAAATGAAAACCCTAATCCTAAATGAGAATGAAAAACCTTAAGGTAAAATGACCACACTACCACCACCAATTTGAAAAGACTACCCCCTACTCATCGCCCAAGACCGACCATTCCCGGCCTCGTCATCACCCAAGACCGCCTTTGCCCTCTGTCTTGCCATCACAACACAACCTAATTCTATACAGCAGAAGAGGGGGTTTTATACTCGGACGCTCATTATGATATATTTTTGTTATGCCCTTGTTAAATATTTCTAATCTTTTAATTTTTATTATTTATTTATTATTATAATAATAATAATAACATAAACAGATTAAAACAAATTAAAAACAAAAAACGAAATCTCAAAATTGACATAGATCTATAAATTGACCTATCTACTACACATCTATATAAAGTTTCTTATTTCATCGTCTTCCTCTGATTTAAAAATTGACCTAGATTTATAAATAATCGTGTGTGTTTGTTTATGTGTTTGAAGAAAAAATCCAGATCGATGGTGAATGCGAGTCAAGAGCCTAATATGTATGAACCTCGATCTAGTGTGTGTATGTGCATGTGTGTTCATGGTGAAGGTAGGTGAAGATCTATAATGTTCATCAGAAGCCACCATGCACCACCACCCTTGGGTCACCTCCATCAAACCCCTGTCTCTCTTTTCTCTCTTCACCTCAGTGACTGCTTCTCCTCACTATATCAATGGTTTCATCCATTTGAATCTGGAATCCCACCTTCCCCCTCACAAGGTAAGAATGGTTCCGTATTTCCGTCAATCACTACAATGATCTAACCCTTTGCAGACGACACCTATCCAGACGACATATGTCGTCGGCAAAAGTCGATCTATAGAGACGACATGTCGTCTGGACAGAGTTTTCAAACATTGACCATATGTCGTTGACCAGAAAAGCTATACAGACGACAAGTCGTCTGCATAGGCTCGGCGGGAATGGGCAAAATATTGGCGGTATATCGAATTTCTATACCGACGACATGTCGTCAGGAGGAGGAATTAAAAAAATATTTTCGATTTATTTAAATTCTTTGTCGCAGAAAAGCAATACGATGCCGTTTTGGTCAGCCTATGCAGACGACATGTCGTCGCTATAGGGTGCTTAAAAATTAATTTCAATTTATTTTTTATCCGTCTTGTAGAAATGGAATACGATGTCGTTTTGGTCAAGCTATCCAGACGACATGTCATCTGGAAAAGGTGGGACCGATCCGCGTGAAAACCCTTTTGTATTTTGTTTTATTTTTTAATGTCTTGAAGGTGCACGACGCCGTTTTCGTTTACCTATAGAGACGACATGTCGTCTCTATAGGGTTTCGCTGTAACAAAACCGCTTTCGGTCTTCATTTTCCAGTCGGCTGCCCCTTCCATTTTCCTCTCAAGCTTCGGCGATCCCAGGCATTTTCCGGCATTCCACTTCATCGGCCAGCTAAAAGGTTAGGTTTTGGTCCTTGATTTCTTCTTAATTAGTAAGAGCTTGAGTTTTTATTCCGATTTTGGGGGATTTGTTTCCGGTTTTGGAGCCCTAAAACACTGCCGCCGGCCGGACAAGAACGGTGAACACCGCCATAGAAAACGATTTCCGGTGATATACCTATCTTCACCACCGATTTTAAGGTTGGTTTTTTAATTTTTTTTCCCTGCTTAAGGAAGTGCAGTTCATTTTTTTTTTTCATGCCATGAGGAAACAATTTTTGACTGTACAATCTGCTATGAACGAAGGCCCAATGCCACAAACCATTGGCAGTATCGCTCCATGGATTCTTTCTGTGGCAGCTGGATCAAAAAACCCAGGTTTAATCACCCCTGTACGACTAGGAAATGGTATAGTTGTTAATGTGAGTAATATCTGACTTTTATTATAAGCCTACGTAAAACTTGTAGATTTTGTGATCATGATGAAACGTAATCTACGGAAAATTAAATTATTTTTAAACTAATTCATTCTTATCTCAGGGAGTTTCAGTAAATCCCTTTAAACTTAAAGGAATGTATCCTCTAATTTACGCCGGAGAAGTTCCAAATATCACCGCTGGTTTCAGTGGCTCAACATCGAGGTAAAAGATAGATTTTCCTTAATAACAATCTCCAGGGAGTTTATGTTTCAATATAAAAATGAAGAGTTTATCTTCCATTTGTGTGCTTCAATTTCGTTTGTCCCTGGATCTTTATGTTTCTTTGATGGTGTATCGTGGAATTTGTATTCATATATATCAGGTTTTGCATCAAAAATTCTTTGGACAATAATTAAGTGAAAGGAAAAATAATTATATGTGATACGTTAACGACTGGAGAAGATGAAATGTTGGCGGGTGCAATCGGGTCAATCATGATATATCCTGGACCGTATTTTGAAGCCATTAGTTCTTATCCTTTGCCTGCTAGTATTGTTAACTCCGATCAAGCGTCAATTATCGCTGACTACTTAGAATCAACAGAGTAAAAAAACCCACTAGCTTGTTTACTTTTATATTCTAGTTCGCTGAATTCATTTACAGAAATTGATGAAATTGAAATTCTTTCAGAAATGCAATAGCAGTAATAATGAAGAGTGAAGATATCAACAATGTGTCAACCCCATATGTTGCATCTTTCTCGTCAAGAGGTCCAAATCCGACAAATAAAAACATTCTTAAGGTAATTAATTTACTCGAGTAACAGTTTGAAAACATACAAGATTAGAATCATGTGTTACACAACAACACTAATAATTGAACTTTTTTTATTCATGTAGCCAGACTTAACAGCTCGTGGGGTGAGAATTCTAGCAGCATGGTCACCTGTGGCTTGAATTAGTCAAGAAGAAGGAGACCACAGAGCAGTACCATTCAATATGCTATCAGGAACATTAATGGCATGCCCACACGTCAGTGGTATTGCTGCTTATATCAAAACATTTAACCCGAAATGGTCTCCAGCAGCCATTAAGTCGGCTCTCATGACAACAGGTATAACATATACTGAATTTGCAGAGAAGATATAGGACTTCACATATCTAACAATTATAATAAATCTTGCAGCTTCCGTTATGAATGGTGAGACGGATGCTGAATTTGCATATGGAGCCGGCTATCTTAATCCATTGGCAGCTATGAAACCTGGGCTGATATACGATGCTTTTGAGATCGATTATGTAAGCTTTTTGTGCCATGAAGGCTACAACATGATGATGATGATGATGTTGATGATGGTGGTGATGAGGAGGATGAGAACTAGAATGGTAATGACAACAATGGTTGTTAAAAACTTGCTTTTTTTTGTTATTTTGTTATGTACTAGAATTTGAATGGTATGTTATGTTTATTAAGTGTTTTTGGATTTTAATGGTATGTTATGTTATGTTTATATTATTCTGCAAATATCCCTTTTGGATTTGTTTTAAATGGCATATATAACAAAACCTGTGGAAAATATTTAAAAAAAAGGGGGCTATAGAGACGACATGTCGTTTGTATTGATCAACTTTTCCAGACGATAAGTCGTCTCTATAGGGTCACACTTTTACCGACGACAAGTCGTCGGTATAGGGTCCGAATAAAACTTTTTCTTATTTCCTCGAAAATCAATCCCGACGATCCTTTGCAGACGACATGTCGTCTGGACTGGCTATGCTATACCGACGACTCCTGTCCCGACGACATTTTCGACTTTTACCGACGGACCTATACCGACGACTTTTTACAGACCACATATCGTCGGTATAAGCTTTACAGACGACAAGTCGTCTAGACAGAGTCCATAATTGTCGTCTGCATAGGGCTCGATCCTTGTAGTGAATGTACACTATGTCTTTACTTCTAAGTTGTGTGTTTATTTTGTTTACTTTTTGTCAATATAAACGAGTTCCACAGTTGTAGTTCCTGTGATAACTTTTGTCTTTTTTTCAGCTTTTGTCTTTACTATTTGAGTCTATTTTTTGCTCTTTTAAAGTTTGGATTACGATTTAGAGAAATAAATTTGTTTTTATATTTACTTTTGATGTTTCAGTTGTCTAAAATTTTAAAGTTTTCATTAGAAATTAATTGTATTAATTTTGATTATAAGTAAAATTATCAATTGCATTAAGCTTTGTTTAATTTACTGTTCATATTTTTATCTTTTCATGCTTCATTGTATGTTATCTATCATTGTTGGTTTTGTAACAGCAAGGGATGTAATGGTGATCCAGTTTGACTTTTGGCTACATTGGTCACTTTACAACTAAGATATTTTCTCACTTCTTCACCTTCTTACTAATAAGAATATAACTAGGTTCAAATATTCTGCCTTTTGAAAATATCTTATATTTTAAAGTATCTTATAACTAAGGTATTTTCTCACTTCTTCACCTTCTTACTGATACAGTTTTATATTTTGCACCAGGATCTATTAGAAAACCTAACCATGGTTATACAATTGCAATCTAATTTTCTAAAAGCTTTCCATATATGGGAGCCCATGAACTAGCGGACAGCAAGGTGATCGAAGCATCCTGCAACCGAATTTTCAACATAAACTTAACATATGTCGGCCACTGAAACATAAACCATAAAGAAAAAATTAGGTTTAGGCTACAACATGTAATAGAAAGAACACCATTTTTAATCATCATTAGGGTCATGGCAAAAATAAGAGGAAGTACTTTTTTCTTATTTTAAACATATTTTTCATTTTATCTATTGATTTTTACAACCCTCAAAAATTTACGAAGTGAAGAATTATAGTTTTAAAGATCCAGATTTTTGTGTTGCTGTTAAATGTTAATTTTAAGTGTGTGAGTGGGTCAACTTTTTTCCATGTTATTGTAAAATGTTAAATTTAGATTTAATGTATTTTGCATTTCAATTTCAGACTTTGAAGCATAAGGACAATGTAGCTGAGCTTGCAAAAGACTAAATGAGTTATGAGGTTTGAATTCAAAAACATGAGTTATAGGGTCCGTTGAAAATCAAATTCATAAATTATTGCTTGCTTATATATATTTTCTCGCCTATCATTTTAATATAATTTATTGGATTTTTTGTTGTAATGTTTGTGATTAACCTTTGTAGGTTTTTTGTTTTAATATTTGTAGCTTGCTAGGTAAAAGACGCTTCCTTTTTTTGTTGGTCTAACGTGATTTACCAGGTTACGAATACAATTTTTTTTACTAGCTAATACACCTTTTACTTATTTAGTCAAAATTTGACCTGTTTTTTTTTACTGTGTGGGGTTGTACACGACATGGTAGTAAGAAATTAGAAAACTACATAATAAACTAATTATTATACTTATATTGTAGGATTAAGTGCAAATAGCAACATAATTCCTTGATATGTTTATTATACCATTCTACATTTATTAATTTGTTTATTATAGCAATCTACTTTCAGGTCTTCCGATTACATCTTTACAACATTGTGCTTTGAAAAATCATCTCAATTATATGAATGTTTATCAAAGTTAAAGCAATTTTTGCTGCAATAATGAGGATATTTTTCAAAGTATAATGTCCTAACAAGAAAGAATTTGAAAGTACATTTCTAATTGGGTAAATTTTTTTAAGTACAATGTAAAAAAATTGATAGTGGAATGTTGTAATTGTAATAGCATCTTATTTTCATTTCTTGCTACTACAACATTGACTTTGAAAAATCAACCCAATCATAGCAATTTCATTCCAATAAAAAACATTTTTTAGATAAAATTATTGTTTAAACTCCTGCCGTACGCTCTTAAAACCCTTGTTTATGACATTAATGTAAAGAATTTTAAATACAAAAAATAAAACAAACACACAAAATAGGCCCAACTTGATAGAGTTGAGTTTGGGTCTACTTTTATAAATATCACAAACGTCAAAAGCCGAATAGCAGGTCCAAAACGGCAAAGCAACAGATCAACACTTGCGTTTTCGTTTACTGTTTACCATTTCCGTAGAGCAATGATCAAAATCGGAAAAAAAAAACAACGATAGTCTTTTTTAGTTGTTAGAAGCAACAAATGTAGACATCTACTATATTGAAGATCAAAATGGACAAACCATGATATGCAAGTACACATAAAGAGAACGTGATGAATGAAAACTTCAAAAATGTCAGCATTTCCGTATTACAAATCAATAGAAATACGACAAGTATAACAGGGAGGTAGTACATGTAAGTTGTTGATTTTGAGATAAATAAGACGGTAAAAGAATTTTTGTAAATAAATTTACTTCTTTTGATCTTCTTCAGGAGCACACCATTAAGATTTGCAACCGGAATGAAAGATTTATGGTTGATTTTTGTGAATGGATAATTTGTAGTTTTGGTTTCCATCATTTTGACTGCATTTACACTTAAATTCTGATATCGGTTTTCTTAGAGAAAAAAATATTTTGTATTTGGCGTATCATTTCAAAAAGCAGTTTGATAGACATATATTCTGTGTTTTCCTTTGTGAGTTGTGAGTGTATTTATAGTTTGTATTTTTGTTTTTGATACAATAATATATCATCCACATTTATAACTCTTAGATGTGTTTATTGGTCAAGCATCAAAATAGATGTATACAATAAATTTGGGAATATCAAAATGTAAATTGCAAAATATGAACGGCCCACAAAACCTGTTAGAAGGCTTTGCAAAATATCAATAGCAGCACACTAGCAATATTTTGAATGTCACAATGTTTGAAACTTGGATCTCCGGTATGGTAACTTGTTATCTCCCGTTCTTTAAGATGATCCAAATTGAGGCCCGTGTAGTCTTGAATATCGGGCAAGTTATTCAGTTTGATAGTGATCATATGTACATCTTCAAAGATCAGGCTCTTCAACCGACTAAATCTATTAAACATTGAGCACAAATTTACAATATTTGAGAGATAGATATTCCAATCCTTGCAATGAAAAGAATGAACATTGGTAACTTGTAATAATAAGAAATTTCAAAAATGAATTTCTTGATACTTTTGCTCCGTGAAAGATGAAGTATTAACAATTTTTGCTTTAACGATACAAATACAGAGTTCAGATATCGAACCCTTGTGTAGCAAAAAAACATGGAAGATGGCATTGACAAGCTTATATTTTTCTATTTTTCCCTCCATATTAGATGATAGTTTAACCAGCTTGTCATCCAATACAAGTTTCGGGATGCTTGTCCAGCAATACCTCCATTTCTTTTACAAAACGCTTGTCCTCAATGCATCTCTGATTGGCATAAGAGTCAGAATTTGTTCAATTGTATCTTGAGGGAGAGGACTGATTCTATCCGAGCTTTGTCTGCCTACTAGAGTTCTAAATCCCTATAATTGCTAGAACATGTTATATTGCATTATGAATGCCTAAAGCACACAACAATTAGGGGTTGTTTGATAACCCTCTTAATGGTTCAATTAAGAAGTTGCTTTGAATTGTTTAGCATTTAGAAAGTTTAGAACAGTCTCTAAAAAGATCAAAAAGCTATGAACTGAAACTGTGCGTCTGAATGGTTAAGCAATCTTACCTTCTCTTAACCTTTAAGATGTTGGAACTATTCAATATCATCTATAAAAAGCAAGGTTCTAAATAACGTTAGGCGTGACTTGACAACAATGTCAAGCCTCAAATTTTTACAAGTCGTGGCGAGCCATATCGTTTGTTATATGTTATATTTTAGAAAAATTTACAAAAGTGTTAGCATTTATTCCAACAGCTCCAAAAAACCACTTCCAACAAAATGATCTAAACTGAGTTTGGACATGTTCGGAGTAAAAATACCTCAATATTGGAGGTCTACAAAAGTATTAGATAGAATAATTTTTGTGAAGAAAGGTATTTGTATGAATACATTCGTGTATTAACATTTGGTCATTTAATTAAGTTTTTCATTTAAGTATGTTTGAGGTGTAGTTTTCTTTTATGGTTTCCTATGACTATAATGAGCATATTTAGGAACTAAAAAGAAGATCAAAAAGATTAAGAACTTAATTAAAGGGTAATTAGTACTTAATCACCTTGTATTCAAATATTTAGGTGAGGATTATGGTGTCGGTTCACTTGGAAATTGAAAGTATGGCTTGCTTACTACAATTAAGGTGAGTTGTTACCCATGGATACATGTCCCTTCTATGATTTTATTATTTTGATCGTTACTATCTTCACTATTGATTCTTATATGCAACTTCCTACTAAAACTTTGTACCTCATAAAAATTGTTGTAACACCCTAAAATTTTCAAACTTTTTCAAAGCTATGGTTATAAAAACTTTTTGGGAATTAACCCACATTTAATAAAAACTCAGTCTCACAAAAACATTTACAATTAAAACATTGAGTCTTACCATTAAGCATCAATACAACTATAGCAAACAAATACGAATTACATAAATATCATTAATAATGAACTTGACAAGCTCCACTCCATTCACGATCTCTTAACTTCTAACTCTCATTTATCATATTTTCTCCTTAAGTGTAACCTTACGATACATGACATTAAAAAGAGATGTGTAAAACAACAATGTCTCGTGACATACGCGGGTTTGTGACCCAAAACCTTTAACACGTTTCTATTGAAAACATTTTATTAAGCAAAACATATTTCAAAAGAATCATTTACTACATATTTCGTTCCATATCAAAACATTTCATTATACATAACATAATTCAAAAGACATTTCTTTCACATTATATTTCCTTCTTTCATTAAGGGCTAATTCCGGTATTGAACCGTTGTCATTTTTATACTTAGGGTCTATATCCAATAAAGGAACCACTTCCAAGTCTAGACCAAGGTGGAAAGAACAAACTCAATCCACCAAAGCATCATTTCCACTAGGATATCTACTTTGCGAAGGGGAGGGTACCACCCTAGTTGATTCCTTTAGGCCCCTTATGAGGCATCATAGTCCAGATGATTTGTTTTTGTTTTCTTTACTTTCTTTCTAGCTTTCATATTCACACATTATCAATACTTGTGTCATATTTATTAATTAACACAAACAACTAGAAAGATATACTTTGAAAAGACACATTTCACATATCATAACATTTATTCTTCCAAAACATTCTTTGCTTCCAAAACGTTCTTACTTTAAAAGCATTCTTTCAAAATATTATTTTCAAAGGTATTTAACACTTTCATTTCAAAATGTTCCATATAGAAAATAATTGGTATTTCATTATCATAAAATCATTTTTCCATGTACCCCAAAGTGGGAAATTGTCAATATGTATATGAAGGTTAGCTAGTCATCTTCCAGTTCCTTTCCTTAGAGCAATACTCTTCAAAATCTACCTATACAATATAGACATAATTCATTAAAATGACCAAAATACCCCTCATAGGTTCCATTACTAAATTTTATTGCTTCAAACCATACGTCATGTAAAAATATGAATGTAGGTGAAAACTGTGCATAAATCTGAGTCTGTATGCAAAAGTTGGAAGAAAATGAGTGAATCCCTTATAGAAGGAAACACGGTCGTTTTTCTCTTTGCCTTGAGAAAACACGGCCGTGTTTTGAGGTCTGCACACACATATCTTTATTTTTCTCAAATAATACTCTACTTTGCATAATTTTTGAAGACCCTTTTCCAATTCACTTTGTACCATTGTATAGGTTCTCACACATGATTGAGAGGTGTTTTATCATCCAAACACACCCCACTTAATCCATTAAGTGCTCATTGAAACCTTTAAGGATATGATGATCCATAAGCTTAAATTAAGGTTTAACTAATCTAGTTTCCAATTGTACATTCTAAAACTCACATGGTTTGTTCCTAACTCATTGAATACCCATTTGAATGTTGTTAAATACATAAAACCACAACCAATTCCATTGTAAGTGCTTAATTTAACTATGGGATCCTCAATTCCATTATTACACTCTAAATGCATATAAACACTTAACTGAAAAGGGTTAAGAGCTCAATAACACTCTTTAAC